GTCTCATTAAGAGCCACATCTACTGTTTTAGTGTGGTGAGATGTGTTCCACACTGGGCATGTATACTCAGCAACAGAGTAGTATAGCGCAATGGCAGATGTCTTCAATGTGTCTGGTTGCAATCCCCAGGTTGTGCCAGTCAGCTTTCGTATGATATTATTTCTAGCGCTAGGTAGACAAAGATTGGCATAAGGTGCTCAAAAAGTCTCTGAAGCTCTTGTACAGGGTAAATGGTGAGTGGTATCTGGGCACACTCCCTTCAGTAGTTAATTCCATTATCCTGAACCACTAATGGGGGGGATAAAAGCTAGACTTTTAGACTGCAGTATAGCATTGCTATACTGTATATATTGTAAAAACAATATACATTTAAAATAAAATAAAACTTAGAGTACACAAGATGTAGAGCAGTGGTTTTCAAACTCTGGATGTTTTGGCCTTCAATTCCCAGAAATCCTAACAGCTGGTAAACTGGCTGGGATTTCTGGGAGTTGTAGGCCAAAACACCTGAGGACCCACAGGTTGGGAACCACTGATGTAGAGGGTAGATAAACAACACCCTAATCTCAATAAGTTAAATTGTAGAGAAAACAAAAGACTGTGCATTGCTACTTTAAAAGAATGTCTGGGTTTGGCACAAGGTACTGTGTCTTACATATTTGAACTGGCAAACCAATTCAAATGTCCTTAGTTCATTACTCTATATTAAGAATGGAATTCTTCGCTAATTTAATTCTCAGAAGACACACAGAGTAATTTTAGCAATTTACCACCTACTTTGAGAAAATTTGTGAAAACAACAGGGTTTTTAAAGACTATTTGCAGTTTGAGACTTATTCTGTGAAAAAAATTCCACATATGCTATTTTTGCACAGAAAAAATTCACCTCAACAAACAGCATTTTTCAACCTGTCTGAATGTGTCTTCATCTATGAGCCAGCTAGGAGGTTAAGATCTTCTGGGGAGGCCCTGCTCTCAGTACTGCCTCCTTCATAGTTGATGGGGACGAGACAGGGCCTTCTCAGTGGCAGTCCCTTGGCTTTAAAACTCCCTCCCTAGTTCTATTAGATCAACCCCCTCCCTCCTGACCCTCAGGAAAAGGCTAAAGTACATGGAGTGAGTAATCTACCAGTGCAATAAAAGAATACGGACTAGTGCAATGACAACCTGGAACGGCTTCGGACCATGATATTAGATTATGTGATTTTAAATAAGTGGTTTTAAGGTTTGATATGTTTTCATAATTGTTTTAATGTATATGTCTATTTTAATATGTATGCCCATATAGCATTAAATTGCTGCTTATATATGTAAGCTACCTGGAGTCCCTTACGGGGTGAAAGGGCGGGGTATAAATATGGGAAATAAATAAATAAATAAATAAATAAATTTTCTGTGCTGTAAATATTTGTATACAGAAATGCTGTTTCCTGTACAAAATTGAAATGTGTACTAAGATTTTGTCAGTGCAGGATTTTGCTTTCCTATAAGTTGAAAAACACGTTTTCCAATCCTTGCTTGACTACTGTTTGATCAATTACTACTCTATACTAAAATATTAGTATAAGCAGCAAATATAGCCATCTTATTGCTTGCCCAAACTTCTGGTTAACATACTAAAAATGCTTTACCCAAAACGCATCCTTGCCAAATCTCACCTGTTATATCTATCCTTTCCTATAACCCACAATTTATTCTTATTCTAGCTTTTCTTCACTTTAGCCTGTTTCCAATTCCTAAGAGGACTACGTGATTGTGATGTTTATTCAAGAGACTTTTGTAATATACATTATCAAAAGCCTTTTAAAGGTCCTGTTAACACTTTGTATTGCATGTTGTCGTCAGCCTAAACCAGGGGTGTCAAACTCATTTTCACAGAGGGCCACATCAGCCTTACAGTTGCCTTCAAAGTGCTGTTTCTAATCGTAAGACTATATACAGGCAGTCCTCAAGTTATGAACAAGATAGGTTCTGTAGTTGAATTTGCATTAAGTTGGAATAGGGACATTTTAAGTGTAACTCCAGATACACACACATACTTTGGATAGCATAAAGAAGGGTTAACACTCCTGTGGTGTTTGTTTTGCTCTCTGTGCCCATTCAGAGATTTCAACACACTTTCTGTCCCTATGATATTGGATTTTGAAAAATTTGGTTTGTTGTAGAAACAAGGATATGTATTAAAACATCAGTGGAGACACCTTTTTCCCCTTAGTAACTCATTCAGGAGTGGATTTCCCTTCCTAGGGGTAGATTTCTCTCACTTCCTATTGTCTCACCGTTTGCAACCATGAGTCATTTGTAAGTCAGACGTCTGTAACTCGGGGACTGCATGTAAATGCAACTATGTTGTCCGGGCATAGAAAGCCTAAAATACCTTCCATATGAAAGCCACCCACTGATTAACAAGGCCTGTAATTGTCCTGTAATTTAGTTATAATGATGTTTCTTAATATTTATATAGTGCTTCCAAGTGTTGAAAGTACTTCATATGCAAATCATGCTTCTATAATTGTAGCAACCCTGCAAATGTCACTACTACGTATTACAGATGTAGGGCTAAGAGAGACCAATATGCCAAAGAGTCACTTGTTGAACTAATAGTATGGTAAGAGGAGAACCAGGGAATTTCTGATGCCGAATTTAGTTTCCCAGCCACTGTTATGTCAGTGTCGTTTCCCACCTACGTCATTAGATATTTCAATAATGGTTCTTACTTTGGGGGTGAAATATTGAATAGATGGAGATAATCCTCTTGTCTCTATTTGCTTACAGTTTGTAATCTCTTGCTTTTAGGTTCATTCTTCACGCACATTCTAAGTCTAGATAATTCTACCATTAAGTTGGAGATCTGGGACACCGCAGGGCAAGAGAAGTACCATAGTGTTTGCCATCTGTATTACAGAGGTGCTAATGCTGCTGTTCTGGTTTACGATATTACCAAGAAGGTAAGGTACAGATGTTCAGTATATGCTTTCACATAATTTTCCTTCCTTTTAAATGTTTTGTTGTTGTTCATTCGTTCAGTCGTCTCCGGCTCTTTGTGACCGCATGGACCAGCCCACGCCAGAGCTCCCTGTCGGCCGTCACCACCCCCAGCTCCTTCAAGGTCAGTCCAGTCACTTGAAGGATGCCACCCATCCATCTTGCCCTTGGTCGGCCCCTCTTCCTTTTACCTTCCACTTTCCCCAGCATAATTGTTTTCTCCAGGCTTTGCTGTCTCCTCATGATGTGGCCAAAATATGTTTAAATGTTTACTATCTCTAAATGTGTTGTTGTCTTAAATGTATTTTGGGATGCATTTTTTAAATGGTAGCATTTTTACTTTTTTATTTATTTAATTCTTATTCAAATTTTATGCAACATCTCCCAAAATTAGATTAAACCAAGTCAACGTGTATTTCTGCAAGAAGTTATACTAATAGTACTTAACATAGCGAATTGTCTATACTGACATATAGATTTGTTACCCTTTTGTTATCCCACTTGCTGCCATCATCAACACTGGATTACAGATACATTTCTACAGCTGCCTGATAGTGGCCTGTCCCATTCTCATCCTTACTGAGATCTCCACCTTGGCCATTATATTAGATAACTACCTCAGACTGAAGATACTCTTAGGGACCTTCCACACAGCCATATAACTCAGAATATCAAGGCAGATAATCCACAATATCTGCTTTGAACTGTATTATATGGCAGAGTGAACACAGATAACCCAGTTCAAAGCAGGTATTGCATATTTTCTGCCTTGATATTATGGATTATATGGCAGTGTGGAAGGGCACTTAGACTCCTTTACTTTGCCTTGATGCAAATCAGGGTTGCACTGAAAATAGGGATGTCTTCTGTTTGTCTAGGAATACCTCTTTCATAAAACTTTCATAAAACTTAGGATGACTCTCCATTGGCAGGTAAATCCACAGCTCTGGGTTTACCACATACTATGGTACCAAATTGGCATCCATACAGCCCAGCTGTGCAGTAACCGCACCAGGGGCCGGACTGTCACATCATCTTCTGTATCACAATTGCTGCTGTAGGTCATGTGAGCTCTAGGCGATTGTGAGTGCCCTGTTCTGACATCTGCAGAAGTGCCTGCACAAATAGAAAGTTCTACCAATCCAAAGCAGCCAGGTTTCTCACTGGAGCAGCATACAGGGAGCACACAATTCCCCTGTTATACTATCTCCACGGGCTGCTAATCTTCTACTGAACACCATTCAAAGTGCTGGCTTTAGCCTACAAAGCCCTAAAAGGTTCTGGCCCAGCTTACCTGTCTGAACGTATCTCTCTTTATGAACCATCATGGAGGTTAAGATGTTCTCGGGAGGCCCTGCTCTCAGTCCCATCTGCTTCACAAATGTGGTTGGTGGGGGACAAGAGACAGAGCCTTCTCAGTGGTGGCTCTCCAACTCTGGAACTCTCTCCCCAGTGAGATTAGATCAGCGTCCTCTGTCCTGGCCTTTAAAAAGAGAACAAAGACATGGTAATGGAACCACCCTTTTGACTAGTAAAGTAATTCAGTACAAGAAGTAAATATGGAATGTGTATAATCAACATCTGGAATGGTCCGGTCTACGAGTTTGGATCATGTGTTTTTGATGTTTTTATTAGGTGTTTTTAATTTTTATACTTCATGTTTAAATGTTCTATTATCTTATGGCAAATTTGTCCTATTCAATCAATCACTCAATGATTTATTACGGTCTTTGACCAGCACAGTACAGAATGGGGCAATTTGTCCTATTGTATTTCATGCTTAATCATATGCTGTTTGATTTATGATTTGGTTATGCACGTAAGGCACTGAATTTTGCCATTATTTTTTGTAAACTGCTTTGAGTCCCCCCAGGGGTGAGAAAAGCGGTATATAAATACTTTAAGTAAAGAAATAATAAATTTTCTTCTGATCACGTTGCACCTCTGTTAAGTATCCAAAATGACCAGAAACTCACATGTAAGCTGAAAGGTATCCAGAGGAGGGCAACTAAAATGATCAAAGATATGGAGACCAGGCCCTATGAGGAGCATCTTAAAGAACTGGGTATGTTTAGCCTGCAGAAAAGAAGGATGAGAAGAGACATGATAAATATGTGAAAGGGTGTCATAAGGAAGAGAGCAGGCTTGTGTTCTGCTGCCCTTGAAACTAGGATGTGGAGTAGTGGGTTTAAATTACAGGAAAGGAGATTCCACCTGTACATTAGGAAGAACTTCCTGACCATATAGGCTGTTCAACAGTGGAACTCTCTGCCTCAAAGTGTGTTGGAAGCTCCTTCCTTGGAAATTTTTAAACAGAGGCTGGGTCGCCATCTGTCAGGGCGCCATCTGATTGTGCTTTACTGCATGGCAGGAGGTTGGACTAGATGGCCCATGTGGTCTCTTCTAACTCTATTATTCTATGATTCTATGTAGCTCTGAGGCCAGTTTGAAGTAGCGATATATTAGACATGATCAATCTCTGTTTCCCTGTTCTGATGAACACAGGAAAGAATGATGTTGATGTCATCCTCTTCGGTTATGAACTAGTCAAAATTAGACCAGCTTTTTAGACTGCTCTGAAGCCATGGAAAACCCTAGAGCAGGGGTCCTCAAACTAAGGCCCGGGGGCCGGATGCGGTCCTCCAAGGTCATTTACCTAGCCCTTGCTCAGGGTCAACCTAAGTCTGTAACAGCTCAAAAGCACACAACAACAACAACAACAACATCAACCCTATCTCATCAGCCAAAAGCAGGCCCACACTTCCCATTGAAATACTAATAAATTTGTATTTGTTAAAATTGTTCTTCATTTTAATTATTGTATTGTTTTTAAGTGGCTTTTGTACTATAAATAAGATATGTGCAGTGTGCATAGGAATTCATTCATTTTTTTTTCAAATTATAATCCGGCCCTCTGACAGTTTGAGGGACTGTGACCTGGCCCTCTGTTTAAAAAGTTTGAGGATCCCTGCCCTAGAGCTTCAACCAAACTTCACAAGATCCCCCAGCTTTGTCTGAAGTAGGCAAAGCTGAATTAACCCAGGATACTCATTGGAAGTAAATAAATGAAATGAGTATAGCCAGGAGACAGTTCAACATGAATCAAAGCTTTCATTCCTGTGTAGATATAGAATCATAGAATCATAGAGTTGGAAGAGACCTCATGGGTCACCCAGTCCAACCCCCTGCCAAGAAGCAGGAAAATCTTATTCAAAGCACCCCTGACAGATTGCCATCCAGCCTCTGTTCAAAAGCTTCCAAAGAAGGAGCCTCCATCACACAGCAGAGAGTTCCACTGCTGAACAGTCTCACAGTTGGGAAGTTCTACCTAATGTTCAGGAGGAATCTCTTTTCCTGTAGTTTGCAGTCATTGTTCCACGTCCTAGTCTTCAGGGCAGCAGAAAACAAGCTTGCTCCCTCCTCCCTACGACTTTCTCTAACATATTTATCATGTCTCCTCTCAGTCTTTGAATGCGATTTTCCTGCTTCTTGGCAGGGGGTTGGACTGGATGGCCCACGAGGCCTCTTCCAACTCTATGATGCTATGATTCTTCTCTTATTCAAGCTAAACATGCCCAGCTCTTTAAGCCGCTCTTCATGGGGCTTGTTCTCCAGGCCCTTGTTCTCTGATTGAATACCCTGATTTTTTTTAAAAAAAAACCTCTTATGTGAACATAATGTCTATCTATTAAATTCATAAATCATACTTATATGATTGTCAAGTAGATCAATAATTTCATATGTAATTTGCCTTTTCAGGAAACTTTGGAGAAGGCAAAGTTATGGCTAAGGGAACTGGAAAAAGAATTCCTTCCGGATGAAATAATCATAGTTTTGGTTGGCAATAAGGTAGATCTTTCAGAAGAACGAGAGGTCACACTACAGGTAGGGGGTGGTTCTGTTTTAAATGAATGCCTGATTTCTGTACATATGTATCGATATGTATCTATGTTGGCCAATGGGTGATTTTTAAAA